ATATCTGTATTTATTTATTTCACGTAAATGCTGCTGTGACAAGGGAATTTCCCCGTTGTGGGATTAATAAAGTAATACAATATGTATCTATCAGCAGAAGACTGACAAATTGTTTTGACAAGAAAATGTGAATGCTAAGAGCCCTGAAATCTAATAATGAGAATTCTACATGTTTTTGTGGCTCTCTTGGTTGGCTGCCCTTGCTGTTGGGAGCCCATCTATTGATACCTCCGATCAGCTGAGTCAGGTGTCCGATAACAGGCACAGACTTTGCCATGCCTGTAAACATGCAGTCTTGTGATGTGGGTTCTCACTGTGGATAAGAGGCACTGTGGTCGGCCCTGGGCCCTGGGTGGGTATCATCTGTAAGGAGATGAGGATCACCTGAGCGCCCCGTTACAAGCAGCCTCTTTTTCTATACGCACGTCTCATTGAGACTGGAGGTGTCTAACAAAGGTTTCTTCAGGATGCTTTTGTGAACTCTCCCTTAAAAAACAAGAAGCCTGTTTTTATTCTTTGTTAAAACACAATCAGTCATTGATGGGCTCAGATGTTTTTCTCTGCCTTAGGGCTCTCCAAACTATTTCAGTGTAGAGCACTTGATTTGTCATTAATCATCTTTGAATGTCCTCTTTATTAGTGGCGTCTGAAGAATAGAAAGATGTGAACAGATTGCGCCTTGTTGTTTTGAAATTTGAGTTAGTTTGTAGAAATGCCTGTGATGTGCACTCAAAAATAAGGGTGGAGGTAGGTGTTATCTGGGCTTGGGTAGACTTACAGAGGGCCCAGTGGGGTCTGGAAAGCCCAGGGAGCATCTTAAGAACTGAGGTACTGGTAGTAATTCAGCATTTTCCATGTAAATCTGCTAAGAGCATTAACATAGCACAGACTACAGACAGCAGGGTACATAGTAGGGGGTGCCCCCTAATCTGCAGCTGTAAATAACGACAACACGAAGACAAGCTACATAGTTACAGGCCTCCGTTTCAGATGGTTTTAACTGCTCACAGGAAAAACATGTGAGACAATGCAGGGTTCTCCTTGGATTTATGTGAAATATCACCATTAGAGACTTAGCAAACTGAATGGATGACATATATCGACAGCCCCTCCTACTGTATCAACACATTCATGAGGACAACTCCCAACATCCTCCTCTCTTACCCTGCAGCTCATCATATGACCCAGGAAGGAGGCTTGTGCGTATGACAGCGCTCCAGAGAATGAGTGTCCCAGCGTTTTTAACGTGCACTCTTCCCCCTACGCTGTATGGATAATGCTCCCTTTGTCCCGGAGTCCCAACACACACTTACACACAAACACATGTGGCCCCGACACAAGTGCGAGAACACCCACACAGACAGGAGCTCCACTGTATTGGCACTCCATTGCCAGAGAGTGAAATTAACTCCTTTTAGTGTTTTTGGCTGCGGGTTGCTACTGGGACGTTTGGCAAAACTGGGCCTTGGTCATCAGACACAATCAACTGAATAAAGAACTACATCAGAGTGTGTAGTAGGCCCACTTTATTAGAATGACATGGTTAATAATATGGGTGTTTTCAAACCACGCAACCATTTTTGGCGAGAAAACAAGCTGAGCATACTGAAATCAAGTGACTTGCACTGAGTGATTAGCCAGAGGCTGTACATTTTATCACCACACTCGCTGCTGCTGATAAACATACTGACAGCTCTCAGTGCTATAATGCTGATGGTTAGCAGGTATAACCTTTACCATGTTTCCATCTTAGCGTAGCATGTTAGACTGCTAACATTAGCTAACTAGCACTAAACACCAAGGACAGCTGAGGCTGACTGGAATGTTTTGCAGGCATTAGACCAGAAAACACAGAAAAGTGCACCATACTTATTGGGGCCGATAAATTATTGGTCAATAATGGGACATTAATATTATTATGCAGTATTCCCATAATTAAATTAAAGCCTGTAGTTACTGGCTTAAAAAATCATATTGTGCATCCCTAAAACAAAGTTCTGGATAAATAATATATTGACCTAATGATGGGGGTACATGAAAACTTGTTACAGTTCACCCTGAGGGGAACATCAGTGTCAAATTTTGTCAAAATCCACTCAATACATTTCACTTAAAACCACAATTGTCAACCTCATTTTGGCATAAGGAGACAAGTCAGGATCACCAAAATCATTAGGATTCATCATCTGGGAACCGCAAATGTCAATTCCAATCCATCCGGCAGATGTCGAGACATTTTACTGGATAAATTAATTTTTACCTACTGGTGGCACAAGAGGGGATTACCAAAGTCATGAGGGTTCATCCTGTGGGAACCAAGGATATCTGTACCAAAGTTCATGGCAATCCCTCTGATACTTGTTTACATATTTCACAGACACCACAAATGTCAACCTCATGGTGGCGCTACAAGAAAAGCCAGGGGACCACCAAAGTCTGGAGGATTCATCCACTGGAAACCATGACCCATGGCACCCCATCCAAAAGTCCCTGAGATATTTCATTCTGGACCGAAGCAGTGCACTAACCAACCAACCGACTGTGCCACCCCTTGAGCGCCGCTGCTAGCATGGCTAACAACTTCTCTCTTTCTGATCCGTGAGCCACCACTTTGTTCATGTCAGTCACCTTGCTCTGTCTCTCAGTAGATTTCATACTAATGATCCATGATGATCAATCAGGTGGCATTACATGCGACACAGACCGTGGTCTTTGCAGGTCAGCAGACAACCCGGACTGGACCAAAGAACTGAGGGAAGTGCTGTTTTTCCCCAAGAATTTCCTGCCTTGCCTTTTCCTCTCCTTTGCTGAGACAAACTACTAAGAGGAGGTATTCCTCTGGGCTTGGAGCAGCGAAAAGCAGGACTTGGCTCGTACAATGGGTTTGTTTGGTAAGACTAATCTGCTTCTTTGATTCTTGAGTGACTTGTTGCCCAAATGAGCAGCTTAGTAACTGAGTCTGTGCCAGGCTACTCATTTGCCTCTGTTGAGCAGGCAGTTGCTTTGGTGTTGGGGGACACTTTGCATTTAAACAGTCTAAGTGTGTTATCAATTTCTTCCATTGTGTGACAGTTGAAGCACAGGAAATGCAACCGGTGTCAACTCACGTCACAGCAGTCATAGTAAATGAGGGAGATGTGGAAAGGTAGGGCAAGGTTGTGTGTATGTTTGTGTGTCTCTGCTTGCAGGTGCACACTAGGGCTGGGAGAAAAATCGGATTCTTAGATCATTCTTGCTTGAACGATTACGCCTTGATGCAAACCAAATTCTCCACATGGGGCAAGTTCAAGAGGCATGCACATTCCCTACAACCGGATGGTAGAACATAATGGAAGAGAAGTTTCTGGCTGGGGCAAAAGTGACTTCTTGCAGATAAACAGACAGACCAGGCAGTATGCATATGCAACAGTAGCCACCGTGATGAATAAAGCACATGCAAGGAAAAATTATACTGCTGTAGATACAATTCGATCAGCAAACGGCCTCTCAGAGTCCAGCGTTCAGCAGTGTTCCAACTGTAACACGGTTTGACTTTATCAGTTAAAATACGCACACTTTTTTTTCCCCATTTACTTCAATAAAGTTTATTTTTAAACACGACCTTTATAGATTACCAATTTGAACCATTATTAAAATAAAAAGCAAACACTTCACATGCCCTCTGCCATCACTGCCCTCAACAAACTGTAGCAATAACACTAATGGACTTATGAGCTTGTGACGGTATTGTGTTCCCTGTAGCCATGTTTGACTGATGTACTGTTGTTATGTGTGTACAGGCTGTTCAAACTAACTTCCAATTGTCTGGAGGACAATAAATTATTTATCTATCTATATTCCCCTAATCCTTAGCATCACATGCTTGGTCAGATTTTTAAGCTTGTTTTATTCTTTGACCAGATATTTCCTGTGGGTATCAAAAACAGTGTTGTTGCAGTATTAGTACCAAAACACTGATAAATAAATAGACGTATAAGCCATTTCTATCCTAGCCTATGTTTAAGCCAGAAGCAAATCTGAGTATTACGGCCGATATGGTGACCACCCCTATTCGTTAACCCCATCCTGGTGCAGTCATGACTTCCTGTGATCATAAATGCCACATCCTGAATTGTGATTGTTCATTCAAGTTCCCACACTGACACATACAGAGGCTGACCTCTCCTATAGAGAGGAAGTAGAGTCAAAGGACGAGACCCGTGACATCATCTGAGCATATTACTGATCACACCAACATGGAAGCTGCCTGGCTGAGCGAAGAGTTATACAGGGGATGAGGTATTTTACACACTGCAGCCAGAGGGAACGAAACAAATGTAAACCTCATAGCATACCAATGGAAAATCCGCTGTGCACAGGTCTATCTAAAAGCTTTAGCGACATGTTACGACATGACATCAATTATTAACACACTGCTTTGTGACCTGTTGCGCTTGTCATTCAACATTTATCTGTCAAGTCAAATGTCAACAAGTGGGAAAACACAGAGGAGTGGCAAAAACTGCACATGTACACACATCGTACTGTGATCTCCCAACCTCAACTCACATAAATTAATACCTTTTAATTCATTACTTAACTTTTCATTTGTTGTGTCATCTTCATGTTTCAGTAAGGTTTGGTTTATAATATTTAAATCCTTTTTCCCGTGTAAGCCATGTTGGCCACCACTTAAAGGCTGGGAAATAATAAACCAGATTAAGTGCTAAGCCCTGCGGTAGTTCAGGGTTGTTGAAGATGCTTCAGTGAGGGGCTGCGTGTGTTTAATGCCCAAACATGAGCACCAGTGAGGATTAAAAAGGGGACATACTGTGGGTTTGAGCTTTAAAAGTACCAAAACACACCTAAATGCAGGGTTCAGCATTAATGTTGTGTTTCACTTGCTCGGTTGGGTCAGAATAACCCACAGTCTAGTTTTACTTGCCCTTACACAGATTGTTTTATTCATTAGTGGTTATCAAATAACAACAAAAGTTTTTCAGAAACTTGCCGTGCCTTTGAAAAATAACCATGTTTTAGGTGTTTGGTGCAATACAGAGTTGGAGTCTCGCCCAAATCCTTCAACGGTACCCAACAGGACCCCTGTTTCCAGCATTACTGAAATGCTCGCTTCAGCTCATACCCACCGCCATTTTCCCAATTGTTACTGCACATGTGCAACACTCAGCAGAGATGAGAAGAAAGTGAAATGGCTCGCCTTTTAGCTACTGCCATCAGCCGCTCCAGAAGAAACTATGTGGCTAGTTCTGTTTTACCACTTGCCAGATCAGGTAGGTGAGTTGCTAGATTTAGTAGCCTGATGCAGCGTTTTAATTCACCCGGCCAATCCTTAACGTTGAGCCATTATTAAATGACATTCACTGAAAAATCCTTTTGGCCAATATATGTATTACAATATCAATATTTTGGCACAAACCATTGGGATTAAAAAGAAAACAGGACAATTATAAATTGTATATTGTTCTGTAGATTTATTTTGTTTAACTTATATTTCTGTTAGTATTAGTTAGCTTTAAATGTGCAGTTAAGTTTCAGTTTTTATTATCTGAAAACGATTGCTTTAGATTTTATGTTGTGTGTTTTCTTATAAAGTCTGTAGTTGTTACGCTGCCCACAGTACTGATCACAGGCTGAAAAGAACAAACCATGCATTTACAGTCCTATTGCATGAGGATGACATAATACACTATTAGTAACATTTAAACAGCAGTTTTCTTGGTGACGTGTTTCAGATTTTACCGTGACAACCGCTGTAACCAAATGATGTCTGGAGCTGTGACTAAGCAGAGACGTTCAACAGACTGCAGCAGCAGTCATTCAACTGCGTGCTTTAGAAACAAAAGCATAAACATATTTAACAAACTGATGAGCCACATTAAAACAGTATAAAGCAAGAAATGTCTTCAGCACCTGGATGGCAAGGACCTGAATATAGTTCCTATTATACAATTTGAAACTGTGAATAGATACAACTGCTAGTATAGAACAAAAGGTTTATTGACCAAAATGAGTCAAGGCCCTGAACTTCTGTATTCTTCTAAGGCATCTTTGTCGATGTCTTGATGTGAAACTCTGTAGCCAATTCTACTTCAGTATGCCTGCTTAAAGGGGCAAAAAGGCAGATAGTTCTGTTGTTTACACTAAGACTTTCACATTTATGCCCGCTCTTTGTCATGTTTATTTAAGTTAACAATTTTATTTACTTATAGCTTCAGATTTAACAAATCCTACAGACACAAGTGTAGGTTACCTGTATCATCTGAGCATCATAACATTGTTACTGTGGGCAACTCATTGTGATTACTCCAACAGGAGTTACCCTGGGACTTTTGGTTGAGGCAGCATATCATTACATACTCACTCATACCCAACAATAGGCAGTGACAGTGGGAGGGAATAGTGCACGCACATGTGTGTGTGTGTGTGTGTACAGGAGCAAAGCTGAGAGTTATGGTTTATGCTAATAGGCAGCTAAAGAACAGTGTGGACCCTACAGCTTTCATCTCACCAGTGTGCCTGTTGCTACCACGGATTTAACACAGGCTTCCAAGATTTAATACTCGATGAGCAGTGTGGAATAATAGGCATTTTTATACAGCATCCCTCAAAATGACATACAGTGCAGCAGAATAAAACTACGACGAGAACTGATCTCATAACTACACACAATTAAAGTTTCTACTGAGAGGCAGAGTGCTGGTGTAGCACCATAACAATGTGTCACTATGCAAGTACAGACTGCACTGTAGTGATGAAGTGATGAAGTGATGAAGAGAGTGTGAGGTGAGTGTGAGGCTCATCACTCACGAGGCTGAATGCGATCACTGAGATTCAGAGTTGTATTTGTTGGAAGCAGTCAGCTGATAAACAAATCACTGACTGGTTTGCATATATACATATATATGAGGCTGGAATGAAAATGAGTGTTGGAGGTATCACCAGCTGAACTACAGCGGTGCACAGTAACCTTGATGCCCCGGCAGCAGCAGCAGCTGGAGGTCCCGAGAGTCGCTGGCATCCACCGGGACGTGAACTGGCAGCCAAAGTACAGAGTGTGCTTCCGAGATGATACTCGGGCTCCGGCCAATTGTCAGACATGGACAGAGTACGGGGCGGGCTTTTTAACATTTTACACGAATCCCTAACCCATTTAGCTGTGATTCTTTGAACTAGAAAAAAAATATTTACAGTGAAGGTTTGCCTGTTATTCCATTAGTTTTCCTCCCCCAAAATGCCCCATAGTGGGCCGCTGAGAGTATCAACACCCAGTTTATAAAGTGTATTTCCTCTTCAAAAATGTACTCTACAGTATATATAAGTATGCCGAATTACATAAAGGTGTATATACGTTACAAAAAGTACTAACTCACGATTAATTTGATATGGTGTGCAGTTAATAAGCGTCGCAACAGGGAATTGCCAGATTTTCGAATTGGGTTCAGCATTTAATCTTTTCGTACCAAAGCACATAACACGACCCTCTAATCTGTAATCCGGGTCATAAATTAGTTTGGCAGTAACGTGGTGAAACCCACCTCTTCTGCGTGTTTCCTCAGTGCTTTCTCTCGCTCATACTGAGTAACGAGTTGCTCGTTGTCCTCCTTCAGCAGCTCCAGCTCCACTTCGTGCTCCTGGTTGACAGCGAACACCGAGTCCAGGTTCTCCAGCACGGCCACGACCAGCGGCATCAGCTCCTTCACCACGTCCTCGTCGTATCTCTCGATTAGCCGCTCAAACTCGCGGTATATTGAACTGGCCAGACCTGAGACCCGCTCGGACATCATGGTCGAGCTGCCAGATTCGTCCTGATACAGGACTACGTCGTCCAGCTCCATTTTCTTGCCTCCACTTGCACTTCTTTCCCAGCTAACGTTAATGAGCTAGCCGCAAGCTTCAGCTGGCCAGAGGCTGTCCGCCTTTGCTACTTTCAGCGCAACAAAACGGCGTTCCTAAAACATAGCTCAAATGTTGTGTGTTGTACACAAGAGACACTGTACTTCATAAACAGAGTCTGTATCCCTTTGTCGTCTGGACGGCTCACTTTAAAAGCTTGCTAGCCTAGTAGCTAGCAGTAGTGAAAAGTCTTTACTTGGCTCCTGATTAGTTTCCCTGTCCAACAGATGAGCTCCTGCTGCTGCGTTCAAGTGCTGTCGGAAAGGTGGAGACGGCCGCAGTTCAACGACATAGCAAAGTAGTAAACACTGCAGAAAGAACGTCAGACTGTATCTCAGTAGTTGCTGGATATACAGAATATAAACTATGATGTTCTGGACAGATATAAAGGCAAAATGTGCACACACAAAAAGACACGAAAAGCGCTCATATATATAGTTGCTGTTGTGTGACGTTTAGAGGGCGGAGAACAAACCGTATCAACAACTGAACTGATTAAAAGAAATGCAGTTTATTTGTAGCTATATCTTCATACACAGACGCGAGCGTGTGCTTACAATCATTTTATCTTCCACTTTTATGTCACATTTAGTTACCTCGCAAATTAATTTAAATCACTGGCTTAGTACTTTTCCTCCTTTTCATCCTAAAGCTGCACACAGTTATGTAACCCTGCCATTTGATTCCTTACATAAGTTCACAGCAAAGAGTAGAAATATGCTGTTGGGACAACTTTGATAAAGTGCACACTGCTCGCACTGGAATTGTCCGAGGTTAGAAATGGGATCTTACGAGGATCACTTGAAGAGATCATGTGTTGGTGACGGGACGTCGCGCTTACGTCACATGCTAAACACGGCTGATGAATAAAAAGTGTAGCTAATCCCCAGTGAACTATTCATTGGACACATTTCATAATTACTACACCCCTCCCAGTGACTCATATGGCTTTAGTCAAGAGATTAAAACATATTAGGCTTCTTCCCAACTTCCCTCAAAATGTAGTTCACTCACATTCAGTTCAACAGGTTGCCCTTGCTTGAATTTTTCCTATTAAAAATAAATCTAAGGATGAAGAGTGTGTTTCACAAAAGCTTTTATTTTCATCAAGGAGTCCAGTGCATTCTATTGAGGATATGGAATAGTTATGCAGGCATCAGCTAAATCAAAATGTAATATGATACGCTACCATAAAAAAAAAGTTTTATCCATGGCAAGTAAACAGATTCCCACAAAATATAGTCGTAGTACAATCTTTCTACCTGTTCGAACACCATGCACTATTTTAACTGCATTGTAGAAAATGCAGAACAAACCTTACTGTAAACACACTGTTTTTCTGCAAAGCAATTCTGTTGACCTTCCTGTGATGCATAGGCACTGCTCACCCTGATGTCTTAAGACATTAAACACAAGACAGACGAACCACAGTTACTATACAATGAAGACTTAGCGCCTCAGTCCACAATCCGAGGTAAAAGTTACCCCCTGTATCCTCTCGTTCTGGATCAGACTGCTCTTCAGTCCTCCCTACAGATAAGGAAGACAACGTCGGACACTTGCAGTGACCCGACGGCAGCTTGTACCGGCCGTACAGCACTCACACCAACATAAATGTAGAACACAGACATTACAGTAAACCTGCAGCACTGTCAAATATTGTACACAACGCACATTCAAATATCATGGTTCATAAAGTTGCTCATTGAGTAACTGAGGGTTTAAATAAAACTAATTATCTAAATTAAAAGTGCAATTTAACAAAATATTTGCGCTCCAACGTGTTAACAAATCACATTCATTCATGGAGACCACAGCAGGGACCTCTCTATGGTTTCATATCTTGATTACCATTACAATCCAGTTTCCCAGCGGAGACTCTGGGAGCTCAGGAGTAAGGAGTCTCTATGATGCATTTCAGATAGTATTGTGCTGGCTGTTGTTTGCAGACGATGGGCAGAGGGAGAAGGGCCTTTCGCTGGTCAGACTGCTGAGGGCACGGAGCACAGCGTCGGGCATGTGATCTGCGAGCATCCTGGGACTGATCAACACACTCCTGAACGCCATCTCATTGGACCAGTCTGCACGGTACCGCACCTGGGAAAAACAGGATCTGAGGAAAAAGACAGAGAGAAGAAGTCTGAGGCTCCTTCCACATGGCACTGATACACAATACAGTATAAATATAGTGAGGGATTGAAGAAGATAGGTGCTATATATTTAACTATCAGAATGGTTTTTGTTGAAGCCTTTATAGACCTTTATACAACTGTTCCTATTATTTTGTCCATTGTTATATCAATGAGGGTTGGCTAAATAATACAAACAGCTCTCTGTTTAACGGAGTTCAGTTCAACTGAACCACAAACTAGATCCTAAAAAAGCTGAATCAACACTTCTCATGTGACTGCCAGCATCTAAAACCATCTGAAACACTGAAACTGTTCAAGTCCAAATATACTATACTGTATCACTGAAAGCAGTTTAAGTGGCAGTTAAAATGGAAGTGCTGAAGGAGGTTCGGTTGTAAGCACTGAATAATGTTGAAGAGTCCATTTAGGTGGAAGCGCCTGAAGGAGCTGAAATGACAGTGACAGTCGAAGTGCACAAACTGAAAGAATGTGAAGCGTCCACTAGTGTAAGTGTACGCAGTGAAAGCCAGTGGAGGACATTTTCTAAGTGGAGGTTGCAGGACTTTGAAGAGCTGAAGTTTTGGGGGGTATTTTGCTCAAAAACTGGAAGTAAAGAAATTCCAGATGACATGTTTTAATGCAGTGCCAGCCCTGTATAGTTTCTTCACCAGAGTGTAATGTCGAGTTCATTCTTTATCTTTATTTATTATTTATGTTATGGGATTAAAAAAAAAATTATATAAGCCGATTTATCATTATTGGATTTTTTTCAAACTCTCAAAAACTAGTATTGGCCTCAAAAATCCTTTATGGTTGGGGCTTTAGATGTTTTCTCTACATCCTACTAACTACCACTAGGGGGCAGACATAAAACCATTCTCCCATTCAGCAGCTCATATTTACAGTAACTTTGCTACTTGAGAAATGAGCTGTGTTCAGACCTCCGTGACGGCCCATCTTCTGTAATATGCAGAATGCGTCCGGGCAGGAACAGAGGTAAGTGTGCAGCCGTGTGGGCGGGCGAGTCATCCGACGCCAGGCTCTGATAGGATGAAGAGTGGCGAATCATCAGCGACTCCTCCCCCAGCAGCGGCTGGCTGAGCTCCTCCTCCCTCCTGTCGTCCATCTCAGTGGGGAAGTCATCCGGGTCTCCTCCGAAGAGCTCGTACCAACATCCCTGCAGCAGGATGCGGTACTGGAACAGAAACATATCTGAAATCACCGTCTGTGGCTTCAGATACTGACGGATGCAGTGCTTGGAATGGTTTTTACCTTGGGCTTATTGCAGTTGGAAACTATCTTAAGTATCCTTCTCTTCAGATCCTCCATATTGGGAATGCTCAATCTGTATAGAAAGAATGACAGCAGGTTGATTCAAAGGAAAAGGGAACACTGCAAAGGAAGAGCGCTACTTACAAAGAACAGAGGAAAAGGGAGCGTGTGAGTTGCACTCATTTTCTCGTTCTCTGTGCCGGTAATAACAGGGCAGAGCCAAATATAGTCTCCATCATACAGCGGCCTATAATAGTCTGTGCACCACAGCTCATATTGGCCTTTTGAAGACAAGTCTGCAGTGCACAGACATGATATCATATAGTGACCCACAATGAACCAAACTGCAAGGATCTAACCAGTGTCAACATACAACATGTATTCATAAAGATGTGTTACTTTGATTAAACAATATTTCTAATGGCTGGTAAGAATATACAGTAGAAACATGATCTTACCTGGGAACCAGATCCTTTCCCAACACAACCGAGACCACAAAGTCCTTGGAGTAATCAGCTAAAGCTTTACTGTACATAACAAAACACAGAACAGAACACTCTGTTACAATGGAAGTTGTGTCCAATTATTAACAGTATGGGTGGTACGTCCATATTTTAAGTCAAACCAGTGATCAAACATGTAATAATACATTTTCAAGGATGTTTTCTAACATATTATGTCTTAAAGTAATACATTCCATAACTTCAAGTGTTCAAGTGACACATGATTGTGTTGTTGTTAAGTCATTATTATAAATCCAGATTATACTGTTGTCTAAACTTTGAACGTATTCTTTAAGATAAATGCGTTTGTTTTAAACTGTACACAAAGACTGGTTGGTGCAGCAGCATTTTGCATTTGAAGTCCACTGTCAGCTGTTTGCTGTGTTTCTGTACAGCCTTCCTTACCTCAGGAGCCCCCCTGGTGGAGAGAATGAGTAGCACTGCAGGGTGGGGAAGGAGTTGCGCAAGAGGATAGCCAGCAGTGAGGCTGTGCCAGCACCCAGACTGTGACCAGTGATGACCAGTTTATATTCCTGTAAACACAGGAACACCAAAACACATCGCATACTTGGAGGATTATTCATGATCTATTACCTCTGCAAAGGTTGTGTTATTTCCTGACAACAAAGGGTAGTGTCACAATACCACAATTCAATGATAGGTCTGTCAGGAAAGAAGTTTGATAGAAAAGAACCACACACAAGTGATGGATAAACAGGTTTGGCAGACTTAAAATAGACATACTAGCTCATCCTGTAATACAGAGAAAATTGCATTATTTATGGTTTATTCCTCTTGTAGATTATTGCTTTAAAACTTGACTGTAACCTCCAAATCTCACTGGACATGGCTATTCTCTGTGTTGGTTCAAGCCAATGGCAGTTATTGTTTTTTTTTACCAGAGGAAGAATGCAAATCAGCATCATTTCCTGCCTTTAACTATAACCCTCTCCCAAAGACAACAGCTTGCTGCTTCCAATCTTGTTGTTACAGCCAGCAAAGTAAAACACAGCGATGTCTACTGCAGCTGAAACATAGCTTCTGGCCTTATTACACACTTACCGGTGCAATGGAGAAAGCCTGGTTAAGGATGCCATCGTTGACCAGCTTCTTGTAGATGTAACTGGCCGCCTGGCACATGCCCTGCAGTGAGAGACACAGATGCATTAATCTCTTGGAAAACCCCCTCCAAAAGACAGCTGGAGAGTCCTGTGTTTAAATGGACGTTCACCTTGTGAGCGTAGCAGGCTCCAGACACTCCTTCTATCGGCAGGTTCTCACATTCAGCAGACAGGTCTGTCAGGACGTCCTGCAGGACAGACACTGCGTGAGATAAACTGGCAAACTGATTAAGCACGTATCACAGGGAAGGTCAGAGGGAAGGTTAAAGGCTACATCTGGAGTGGTTTTTGGGTACTGAACAAAGTCCTGTGTTCAGAATCAATGTTGGGACAAATGTTTCACACTTCCCCATAATAAATCCCGTTCACCTTCACCGCACTGATACACTCACACTCTCACTTCCTCCTTTAAATCTTTTTTTCGATACGAGCGCTATTTTAATTTCTTTTGAGGAGTGGCTCGTGACTTCAGAAGTAGATCAAGTGTGACTTACATTTATCAGTTTCTTTCAACAAACGTCTGTCACAAACAGGGAAGTGATTCTGAACATTTAGGGGAAATGGGAGGAGAAGAGTCGGCATAAAGTGCACAACTGTACAGAAAGACTCAGAAAGAGAGAAAACTGACTAAATAAATCACAGCTCTGTGTTTTTACACATCAAATTCACTGTATAGAAGTATATTATTATAGACTTCCTAGTAATACATTTTTTTAAGAAATGTCTGAATGGAAAAAAAATCTATAAATACACCAATAAATAAACATACAAATTAAAGTAAACACTAAAAAGCAACACTCTAACAGTCTAACAACACAGGATATATCAAATAAAAAGTGCTCACCCTCAGTGACAGTGTTCCTCTGACAGCCACCAGAACTGCCTCTCTCTTATGATCCAGAGCCACGTAGAAGGGGATCTCATAGATCTGCAACACACAAACCCCAATGAAAATGGAACAGTTTGAACCACTGAGGCTACTGGGACAGGTGCCCACTTCTAAAGAATGAAACTGAGGGGACACTACGCACGCAGAGGAGTATTCCTGACCTACCTGGTTATGGAAGCTGACGTAGATGAAGTCTCTGTACTGCAAACCAGTGCTGTGCAGGATGGATGAAAAATGACAGCCGAGGTGGTCTCCTCCAACGATGTCATACTCGGCCGCACGACTCCTACAGCTGATACACACGAACACGCGTTTTGATGATCACAAAGGCAGCGTGAGACAGCTTTGCTAATGCTTATGGTTTTCGGGTTCCAAAGGCTAAATTACTGATTTTGGGCTCTCGCTATTATTTTATCATTAAGGCTGTAGATTTACAAGAAGGTTGAACTGAGTGAAAATATCAAAAAATCTAGTTTACATTTTTTCTCTGAGCTTTGTACGTCTCTGAAACACTTCTCTCTATAAGCTGAATGTGCAGAACCTTTAGCATGTAAAAAAAAAAAAACTGTTGACTGTTGTTGCTTTTTGGGGCAGCCTATTTCTACCTTTAGTCAGCAGCTGTTGACCTAACCTGGCCAGTCCTGTGACCTGTCTGATAAGTCCCACTGATAGGTAAAGAGTGCTTCTTACCAGTCTCCACTGAGCTTGCAGGGTCCAGTAAGGAGGTTGGAGTAGATGTACAGCGGCCAGCCATAAGCTGCTGCAGCAAACTTCATACAGTGAGCTGCTTTCTCCAACTCCGTCTCCAAATCTTCTCCCTTCAAACATAAAAGACTATTTTACAGACTTCAATGACTTGGAAAGTTTTAACAGCTGGGTTACCAACATTGTTGCCTGCTCTGAGGTCCACTGTCACCCTAATGTGATTGACAGACTCCTGTACTTACGATGGGAGAGGAAGGGCTGTGAACTACAAGGTCTGGGTCTCTGCTTTGCTCCATCTTATCCTGCTCCTGGTGCAGCAGAGCCAAACCAGCTGCTATGTCACTGGGGACCAGGTCTGTGTCCTGCAACACACAACGCCACATCTCACCATGGGTTTTGTGACAACACACCACTAGACAAATGTGCTCTAGTCTTTCTTGATGTTTTCTATTATCAAACCTTACTTAATGTAGTTAAGACGTAAAGACAGAAGGAGAGAGAAGGTGTCTCTTACAGAGAAGAACCCGCTGACGAGCTGTGCGATGCTAGAGAATGCTGCTCTGTGGCTTTCGTCCTGCGGGAGACAACAGCACAGGAGCCGCAGCCTGCTCTCCCACACCTTGACAGCCAGGGAGCGAGCCGTGGAGAGGAACTGGTTGCCCTCGTTGCTCTCCATGTCTCGTACCCCCAGCGGCTCCATGGCAGCAGGCTGAGGACGGGGGTTGCCCAGTGGGTCAAACACAAATACAACGCCCAACCCTGTGAACAGCAGGATGATCCAGCTGTTGTGACACAGAAAGAAAGACGCTGGATCAAAAGGCGTCTTCAACCGGATCAGAAAAGGACGACACTGTGGACTCACAGCCCTGAACCACTACCTGGCAATCACTGCTGCGATGACAGCGCCCACGGTGGCAGGATCGCACCCTTTGCTGTCATCAGACACCCAGAACGCGCCCAGACAGGCCCACACCAGCTCAGGGATGTAGAGGAGAGCTCGCAGGTACACCAGCGCAGGGATAGAGCGCCGTGGGCCGGGGTTTGTAATGGTACCTGAGAAACAACCACAGATACCAGTGTAATTAACAAAAGATGTACCTGCATATGTACCTTTGTCCCTGTGGTAGGTGGATACTGAGTGAAATCCGTTAGACGTTGCTACACACCAGTTTCCTACAGTTGTGTCCTTCCTGCATTGCATATTGCAGAATAACCTCTATTTTGAAACGATTGCTGCTGCGATAGAACATTTATGTGAAAGCATTGTTACCCTGTGATCTCCCATACAAAAAGCTGTCCATGTCTAGTTATCTTTACATACGAGGCTCACATAACTCCAATGTAGGAGACCTGATAAAGCACAGCTGATTTACCTTGGGCACTGACGTAGACAATAGCACATAGTGACAGGATTATGAGAGCCAGCACAACCAGCAGTCCAACCAGATAGCTGTGAAGAACTCCTCTCCCGTTACAATCAAATTCCCCCTTGTGGTACATGAACAGAATCATGGTGCCAATCCACCTGAGGACAGAATGACAGTGAGCACAGTCAGTGAATGTTATAATGCCCGACAGCTGGACGTCAGGTGGCAGTGAAGGTGAACAACATACCAAAGCACACGGACGAACAGCTCAAAGGAGCCGGGGAAAACAAAGTCGTCACTGGCGATCCCCCACCGCCGACCAAACACCACGATTCCAGGCATTTCCTCTGCGGGTAAACAAGCCCAAATAGCCTACAGATGGTGATTAAGCCACTAGATAGTGGACCGGATTCTCTTCAACAATGGACACGTCCAGTCATGCATGACTTCAGCGCCGGTGCAGCAGCTACTGTGGGTGGCAACGAGCTTTACCCATCGCTGTCACACGCTAGCTGCTCCCCTGCGTCGCTGAATAGATGTTAGCCCGACAGTTAAAGCGAGCTACAAGATAACGTTAAGCATTTAAGTATTCCCGCGCTGAGGTGTTTGTATCCGCTACCGTCACTTAGTTTAACGTTAAAAACGCCCGAGGTATAATTGTGATGCCATATATTGCGGTTTGCGACCCGCCTACGCGAGCCTTCACTGACATTAGGCAATGCAAACGACAGCTAGCATTGCGGGACTGGCGTTAGCTTCTACCATTAGCTATGTAGCTAACGGTAGCTACAAATACATTCCCATAAAGTGCTGACTAATTCCGTTTGACGAACACTACTTTTGCTAATATGTCAACGTCTCGCTTTATAGCGAACGTGAGCTATTCATGTCAGACGTGATGAAACCCAAAATGTAGAGATCTTTGTTTTGATATGCTCAAAAACAAGCCGTGTCCGTCCGTTGATGTTTCCCTACTGCAACACAGACCGTCGGACAACAGTTCCCGTCTTCTTCTTCTTCTTCCTTTCACTTTACGGCGGTTTACAATCACTTACCTTGAAGGTGTATACCGCCACCTGCTGTACCGGAGTGAGCAGACGTGGGTTTTACGTTGTTATCAAAAATGCAAATGTAAGATAGAAATTAGATTTTTCTTTGTAAAAAAGCAAAACATTTATTATTATGATGTCTAATCTTTTGTTTATTTGTTGCACTTTTGGCAATTTGCTTTTCATTTATCCACTGTATAACAACACAATGCCATATACACAGTCCTATATACTTATCTATATTTATCTATATTTATCTATATTTATCTTCT